AGCACGAAAATGTTTCGAAACGAACACGAGAAGGATAATTCTGCTTTTAACGAGCCAAGGGGAAAGGAAAGTATGAAAAGAAAGAATGGAAGGAGGAACAAAGAGGAATCGAGTAATAAGTAATAATCCTTCGGGAACTTTGCAAATATAAAGTAAATGTTTAATGAAATTTAATTTTAATTCTGCTTTATAAATTAAATCCTTTTTGTTATTTACGCTTCAATTAATACCGGTAGTCAACTTGTCTGCACAATTCCTACTCCTATTTCAAAGTATTTCTTTATGTCAATACGTTTCAAAACGTTTTCATAATAGAAAAGAATACATAAATACATATAACTCAGTCTCAATATCATACAATTATTCATTTGATATTTTATGGCAATATTCTAAAATTTTTTAAGCACATGGGATTGACAAAACAGCAGCGTTCATTAAAAAATTTGTGCAAGGTATAGATTACAAGCAGGTGGAGATTTCAAGGCGCGTTTAACGGGGAACAAGTCGACATCCGCGAGGCAAAAGCTCGATCCGTGGGTGTAGTAAAAACGGGGAGGACGTCCGTACCAGAGAGACGCGGCATTTCTTACAATTTACATCAAAGCTCCGTAAGTAAGATTAATGGACGGTTGTCGTAACGAGGTGCGTTGTACGACGCGAGCCGAGGGCGCAAAAACAGTCGGCCGTATGCTTCAGCCGGAAGACGGACGATTACGCGCGGAAATTATTACTTATTGGATATTCCACCGGTAATTACGGGAAAGAAGTTACACCAAAAAACGAGAGGGTGTTCCACGAACTGTTGGTTCGCAGTCTTAGTGAATGGATTCGAGTAGCTAGGTTACTCAATCATAGAACTAATACAGATACAGTAGGTATGAATAGAGGCGTACGAAAGTGGAAATGAAGAAGGATAGAAGACGAGTGCGCCCACAGGTACTTTTTTCTACATATTATACAAATTTTCGACATTTTCTTGATGTCTGCGATAAAATGCATTAAAGATAGTATTCGCTTCCATGTAGATAAGTCATCTCTGGATAAATTCACTGCTGTTTCTATTCGTATGCGTTGCTAGAAGGCGATAGGGAAATCCTACTCATCTTCTTACAAGTGAGACGCTTTTTCAGCTGTCATCTCTATTCTATTTGTATTACCTCCGTACACTCGATATGATGTCATATAATTCATTATGGCGGTATATTCCGATAGCGGCACGATAAGGCGAAATGTTAATGTTATCCACATGTAAATTGGCCAAAAATATGGGTTTACGCCATTCTACGTCTTTATTTCTCAGAGAATCAAGGCAAAATTCGTTTCAATGTTTAGTTTGAGGTACATTCTAGGACTATCTGATCGTTATTGAGTGACATAGTGTCGATATTCAATAACATGAGCGTTAAAAAGTGAAGCAAAAATCATAGTTACTACGCTTTGAAGTTTAAACAATTTTATACCAAAGAGAGATTGTTTTGAATAAAATAAGGAGCAAAGTGGGCTGGAATGTACTTTAACCTAAATATTAAAATGAATTTTGTTTTGATTCTCTGCGAAATAAGGATGTAGAATCGAATGGCGCAAAGCCATATTTTGCACTATTTTTGCCTGGTTATCGATGAACCACAGCAAAAAATGTAAAAAAATTGCCAACAGACGTAGAACTGTAAAATCGTTCTCTTATAGTTAGATTAGATTACCCATACTAGGAATGTAATCCTTTTAGATCGTATTTCTACTGAGTAAATAGTTCAATCTATTGAAATCGATGGAGCAGCTTAATAGCGAGTCAATAAAACGATACGAGCAAGCTAAATCATAGGATTCGATCAACATAAATCGCGAGCCGGATACTTAATTTCCGAATAATCGGGCAAAAGCGACCACGAGAAAGGATAATCGATCCGGGTCGACGGATTCGAAGGGCGGTAATTACGCGAAGGCGAAGCGTCGTCGCGTTGAAAAGACGGGCTAAACCAAAGGGAAATGGAAAAGCCAGTGAATGGATGCCTACGATCCCAAGACAACCGGCTTTATCCTGCATCCAGCTGTCAATCGATCGACGGTGCGACGCGACGTCTTTACTCTCCTTTCGAAAGTTCTTTGAAACGCTGCCTTTTAGATCAAACCAGTTTCGCAGCTCGGAAGCGTTCCACGAATAGATCCACGATACTTTCGAAACAGTTTGAATAACTTCGAATTCTATAATTCAATGAACGAAAATTCTTGGAATGAAAAAACTCGACGCCAAAATATAGTGCTGATAAAACAATATAATACAAAATAGGGAAGTATGAATGCATAAAACATGGGATGCATAAAAGATGAGGAACTAACTTCAAATTACAAGGATTTAGGTAGACGCATTTATTCTTGTTTTAGGTTTTGTATACTCAGATTGAAAGGACTAATACACAATAAGTCGAAAGCATAAAAGTCGTTTGATGAATGTCATTTATATTCAGGAATTTTAGAATTCTACCAAAGGAAAATAAAATCCGAAAACGAGTAACCTAATATTATGTAATAGTGATATTTTATTCAGTCAGTTATTTCCTTTATCAGGTCATTAACCCGTTAAATCCTCTAAGAGTGAGAAAGGTGGGGATGACCGTAACAACCGAAGCAAATGACTGAAATCTCTAAGAAGGATTCACCGGCACCGTCAACGTTCGCTGACAGTCGAATACGTTCTAGTAATTCGACGAACGATGTCACTGATTTTAAACAATGGACGTTTGTTCCCAAACGTTTCGTATTCTCTCGTTCTCGCTCCATCCGGCTGCCCCTTTCTCTCTCGCCCCTTTATTTTCAATACGAATATTCATTCGAGATTCATTACCTAAAAGCCCATAGGTTGACACACTGACCCCGATTCAACAGCCCTTTAAACTGGGAGCACTCGTTTTCACCGCCGTTCACGGGTGTATGCGCCTTCGTTTCTCTCGATATACCACGTATTTTACACGGCTCGTGCCGCGCCAGGCCTCCCTCCCTTCCACGCTCTCTCTCGATATTTGTTTCTACTTTCGCCATTCACGGAGGAAAAACGTGCGTTCGACACCTACCACTCTATCGATCTGTTAGGCGCGAATAAAATCGCTTATTTGGAATGCAGACTAAAAATTTAATCAATAAAATACGGACGTTTAACCAAAATGGAATATTTATGGCGAACAGTTAGAAAAATATATTTCAGACAGAGATTCCTTTTGTCATTTAAGCACTGCGATATTTTATATTTTTATGCATAACATTTATATATTATAGACATTCGATTGATTTATAAATACGTAAAATTCAACACACAGATACGTGGCACAGACAAACAGATCAATCATATCAACATACGTAGATCCATACAAGAAGAACAATGACTAGCAATTATTCAACGACGCATGAGAGATGAACTCCCAACGACAATTTACTTTATATTAAAGAACTCTATTACAGTATAAAGATAATCCATCCTTTGCATCGTCCGTCGCAAAAAAATCTCTTTGAAATCACTTTTCTTTTAACTCAGCAGCTACCTATCACTCGCCAGGAGAAAGGAGGACAAAGGGGCAAAAAGTTCCAACTTCCGAAGAGCTCTTTAATATCCGCCGGGAAGCAGCGTTGCGGTCGCGTTCAGGTGAAGTGACTTTCTCTAAACTTGCCCCGTTATCGTGCGTAAGTTCGTGGATGCTCTTAAGTGCGACGATAAAAAGATTTCGCGCGGACAAGTTCGAGGGATCATACTCGTAAGCACTTTATATATTTTCATGGTTAGGGGATCGATATAAACGTCTCTGAAGAGTAACTATGTGACCGCTTCGAAACCTGAGTAAATTACCTGGTCTAGTTTATAATTTCTATTCGCCACGACGCGACGCCGTTTATGAGAATAAATGGGCTGCTGTTCTGCCGTCAGACTGGCGTCGTCCCAACGCTACGAGCAATGACCAACGTATATATTCACATATAGTAGGACCTCATAAGTCACAGGACACATTATGAAACATATAACTAAGTGACAAATTTTACGGGGGTAGACTCCTATATATATAGGTATTTTTTGGGTAACATTGACAGTCTAACTTTACTGACGCGTGTTAGAAAAGTCACGTGACTACCCTAGCCCTTTAAGAACGTTTGGGGAATACTGTCATGAATAGGCGTATCAAAGAAAGCGTCTTCTGTCCGTCACAATTTTTAGCACTGTCATAGATTATTTACAGTCTCTATTCATCAATGAATCGCATGAAAACGCTATAAAAATATATTTATATTGAATTAATACTCTTATCTAATTTAAATTGCGATAAAATAATTTTTTTTCATAAAAGAAGTAATACAAAAGAAAACGTGCGTCAATCGATATCAGAGACGAGAGAATCAATTATCGATTAGCACCAAGGAAGGACGCTCTCGGTCGCTGCCTAGAGCGCCACTCATAGAAAGAAAGCACAAAAATTCCAACAGCGAGACGTTCCAAATATTAGAGATTGATAAAATTATAGAATGCTGATTCTTGGAATTATTACATGAAAATTAATTACATTCTGAAGAAATGAAACGGGAAGAAGAAAGTGCAACTAAGGAGGGAATAACATCGTCTTACCAGAGATCAGTTCTTACTCGCGAATGTTAGCTAACGTTTCTAGTCTAGGTATGCATCTTGTAGTATTCAGGCTTTTGTTTTAAGAGAAGGAAGGTACAGTTACGAGAAATTGTTACAAGAACAGAAACAGTTATCGTGTATACACACAATGATATAGCATAATGAACCAAGGAGATGAACACAAAGACTTTGTAATCGCAATGTACGTTCTTGTTCCTCGTCAACGGAACATATGCATGTACATATGTACAGTATGAATATAATTCCCGAGTGTTCAGGAGAGCTGTTTGAGTATTTTCTGTTTATGTTTATAGTAAAACTAGAATATATTCCATGTGCCATTGTTGTAAAAAGAATTTTGAAGACATTACAAATGAGATTATATGAAGCAACTTACCCGTGATAAGCGAGGAACGACAATAAGAAGAAGATACAAGCGAGTACATCTGCCCGTCCAACGATGCCAGTCACCTGGAAGGCAAAAGAATCAAAATATTAAGTACCGCATCTCACTCTGGATTCGAATAATGGATACAAAATTTCATAGACATATTGATAATTACTTTAACAATGAGGGATTATAATGAAAAAGATGAAACCGTCTCAAACACGGGAGGTAATAAAAAAGATATAATGGCCGCGAGCAGCGGAAGATCTTTTTCAAGGTAGACGGGCAGTAAACTGAAATTGGATTTAGCGGTGTAAAACGAGGAAGCCACGCCGGAAAGCGACGGTGAGAGCCAACGAGGGTGTGGATCCCTTTCACGGATCTCAACACGCGATGACAGACACGGCCACGTGAGCCAAAGAGCCAGACGAATTGAAAGAGAAGAGAGTCTGGCCAAGTTATTGACAGCCCGCCGCCAGTGAATAACCGACCTCCTCGAGAATAGCCTCGAACCAATGGCTCGTGTGTGCCAAGGTTCCAAACTCCCAAACCCTCTATCCATTCCCTCGTCCTTTCTTTTTTTCATTCCGCTTCACTCGTAAAGAACAGGTGCATTTCCGGAGTTCGAGAATATTGAGCGAAACAATTGGTTCTAAGCAACTAATTCTTTAATTCAACTAAATGCAACTTAAAAGAAAATCTCGTAACGTAAAATTTATTAGATTATCTTCTCTCATTTAACGAAAATTGACGTATAAAAGTATTTCCAGCTTGAAATTCTTGTAATTTCATGTTGCATAGAATAAAATCTTGGAACAATTGATTGTACGATGTTAATTAACGTTGTAATGAACTTTAGTTAGCATGTGGTAACCTAACATATCCTAGTCACACTTGCGGTATGTTACACTTGCCACGGACGTTAGAAGATTAAGTTACTTGTCACGAATTGTTAGTGTCCACAATAGTTGAGTGACGTGAACACATGAAAGTGAATTGCGAACTAGAAACCAGTGCAATTACAAGTGAAATGGCGATGTACGTAAGTTTCGCTCTACATCTACACAATTAATTAGCCAAGGCTGCAACTGTGTTGTAGAAGTAATCTTCACTGTTTTACAAATTACACTCTTTGTGTATGAAACAATACTCGTAATATTATATTACTTTTCCATTCAGTAATGAATTAACTTCTCCATTTTTCAATGCTATACACTGTAGTTTTGATTTGTCTATTGAATAACATTTTCATTCAAACAGTAAATATAATATCGTATCATTTTTCTCTTCCGTAATTAATTTTTCATCATTTATGCTCATTCGAGAAATGATTAACGTATGTGTAGGAAATCTCGGATTTCCACCCGACGATGTCATTAATTTCTCATCATCAACTGTTTTGGCGCGTGTCAGTAAGTTACGTTAATGAAGCACGGTCGCACACGTAGATTCCCTAATTTCACGCGTTTTATAGACGATGGAAGGATGTGCTGGAACAAAACCGATGCTGCTCCCAATATTATCATTAAATATCGACTGCAATCGCGAACATGATAGACATTGATGAATACGAATTTCAGCTGCCGCCATATGAGACGACTATAAATCATTTCTGGATTGATAAAAGGAAATGGGTAAGTGATAACGTCGATGCCATCTTTCCTTTTAAGATAGAAAAAAAATAATTGTACTATCATTCCAAGTGTTCGTTATGATCGTTAAGATATTTTATTCTATTTAAATGTTATAAGTTGTTATATTATTATACTTAATATCATTTTTTGTAATTTTGTAAAATATCACTGATTTTCTTTATTAATGCTATTCTAAGAAACTAATTTAACCACTTTCAGTGATATAACCTTGCACACATATTAACGCGGCTTACGACAGAACTTGGACGCGAAATTCGTCGCAGGTAAACAGCTCGGAGCGAAATCAAGCCAAGATAAACAACAATTTGACATTTTCCAAGGACCCTGTCCTTATCTGGTATGTCCGTTTGACGGGAGTGTGTCCAACGAAAATCTCTACCATGAAACAATACTCTGTCAACGTCAAGGAGAGATGAGAGGGAAGCCATAAACGAAGGGTCTCTACTTAAGATAACAGAGATTACCCTGGCCAGTTCGAGATAGATTCTTTAACGCTTTCACTGCTCCCGGATTTATCGCTGGGGACAACGATCGATTTCATAAAAAATACGGACGAACGATCATCTTGTATGATAAGAGCGTAGAATAAATAACGGTTGTAATCTCTATATCACATCAGAACATCTATTCATATGCATAATCAGTAACGTATCGTATAATGAATCATATAACAAATCGTGTAAGATTTATTGTGTGATTATCATACGGTTTGTTGCGACATTAATAATAGGTTTACGTAATCTCGATACCATATGAAAAAGTTAATTCATTTATTAAAGTAGGATTTAAAAATGATTTCTTGCAATTACTACTTCATATGCAATTCCATTACTATAAAGAAATGCATCTTACTGCCTGATCCTTTCAATTATTTTTTATGAACGAACAATGAAACCTCTGAAATTGTAAATCCTTTGACTTTAAATGTTTAATTTCGTATTTGATTCATAATCACTGCACACGGTATAAAATCACAAATCTTAGAAGATTACGTTAGTGTAACACTTAATGAATCTTCGAGTTGAGGAAGATCGGTGCTTCCCTTAGAAGTGGACAAGCTGAAGTAGTCGAAGGAGAGGATGCGAGGTGGTTGATACGTTCTCGTTCGACCTGGCACCAGTTTGCACCAGTTTGTACTTAGCTCAACTCCATTACCATCTCACTCGTTCAAGAGTTCTAATTGATTATATGAGGCGGTAGTTCCGCAGGAGTTCGCTCGTTACTTCGAGAGAAGCTGGCTCATCCTCCCCCTTATTCTTCCCACCGTCTCTCCTTCTCTTCCCTTTCTACTGTTTCCCCTTCGTTCTTTTATAAGGCGTCGCGTTCCTTTCACTTTCCCTTGCTCGCGGACACGGGTAATTGTGAAGATGCTATATTCTATTATACATCCAACGTTGTCGTAAAAGTTATCCTAATTATTATCGTATTTAACTAATACCTTCTCGCTAGTGATTTAATCAATGATCTTAAAGAATTCTTATTTTTCATTAAAATTAATAAGTGTAAATTAATCATGTACATTTATTTAAATTATTCCTGATTTGTGTACATGAGTTTTTGTATGACTTAATAAATGATTCGTTACATGATTTAGGTCTTTGATCATCCTGTCGCAAGTGCTGTAAAAGTCGAATTCAGTGACGACGTTTTCGCTTTATGGAGGACTGCAGAGAACTCTGAGTAATTGGAGATAAATAGTGGAAAGATCAGGCTTGTGACCACTACCTGTGATCATTGCACCGCTCTTTGTGCTCCTTTGAAACAACTCGACGTTTCTCGTCTAAGCATTAGTTGCTCATCAATTCCCAAAGGATAAAGAGGGCGTGTTAATCAGCTTGTAACGAGCGCTTAAGTGTGTTACCAGAAAAAATCAATGAGAAGAAAGATATTTTATGAAACACTAATTTTCTCTATACTTAACTTGAATCTCGTAATACCTTAAAATTTCTTTAACGGTGAACAAAGTTTTAAACCATGATTCGTATAATTAAATTGTGGCCGTAAATTCCGATAACTGCCAATCCTAGAGTTTATGAAACCACAAATGACCCGATGAAATAAAGTGGCGACTTACACGAAGTGTTCATCGTCAGTTTATAAAACGTGATGGCTCGTATATTTCATTGTCGCTGCAAGCGAATGATCGATTCTCAGAATAGGTGTCCCGCATGCCAGCCTTTTAGATGTAAGATAATACATAAAATAATAGCGACATATGTATATATGTTCTCTACTTCCGAATCTCTAAAAATCTGTTCATTCAATCAGTTTTTTTTTTATAGCTTTCTACAAGAACGTTGACGTACCATTTACTATCAATGGCATGTAGATGGCTAATGGCTTGACAAGTTGTACCGAGTTGAAATAATTTGAAAAGGCGGTCACTCTTGACGTGAATATTCTCGGATAGCGATTTCCCGGTGACGTCAGCAGACATAGCGACGCGGTACTGGAAGAGCGGTAATGCCTCTTAAAATGGGGCATTTTTGTCGATAATAATATTCCCCGGGGAGATTTATGCTTGTGACGAAAATGGGATCGCTTCCGATCTTAAACTTTGAAAGCGAACGGAACCATGCGATGGCTCCCTCCGAATATAACGAAACGTCGTCGGTGGTTAAAGTTAGGCGAGATTCTTGATGCCATACTAAGTGTCAAGTTATAAGATCGCCGAAATCTGACAACTGAAGGACTTGAACGATGACAAATGCATTCCGAGAACCAGATTTAAATTATTCAATTATTCGCGTAATGGAGATAATTTTACATCTTGGATTTGCATTTTCTCATGACGGCAGAAATGATGTGATATTAAAATTGTTAGAATAATCCAGAATAGATTTTGTGCAAATAGTAAAATTCGTTTACTTCCAATAAAAAGACGTAATATGGAGATTAGCCTTGGTTACGATGTCGACATGTCAGAAATAGATATCGAGCAGATAGAGGGATTTCTCCAGATACATACTTCTCCCTTGCAGTTTCCGGTTCATTGCCACTGCTCGTTGGCAGACTAGTGCAATGTCGTCGGAATTTAAACGAGGTTAACAGCCTCGTTGTCACGATGTGCGGATTCAGAATGGGCGCAGAAACGGCGAGACCGAAAGTAGGCGATATTGTCACGTTCCAAACCGCGGCGCGCCGTTATAAACGCCTTAAGATCCTTAATAAGCCTGTTGTAGCAGTAAGGATTATTGGCCTCGGTGTTCTCAGCCGCCCCTTCGTCTTCCGTAGACGAAAATTCGTGCAAGGGGGATAACGACGTCGTTTTCTAGGGATGCAAGGGAATAGACTTGTCGCCTTGTAAGAAGTTTTAATACGTACTAGTATTACAAACCTCCGAATTAGCTGCAACGTCTAACTTTGAATCACTCCTACAGATAGTGTATCTTTATTAGCTCTTCATTTAAATTAATTTGTTTAAAAATGTGTATATTTAATTCGGTCTAGCTTATTCTCATAGGATATAAAATTATATACTATTTACGTGACAATATGCTAAAGGTTTCGTTCGAACGAAAATTGTAACTATCAATTAAACCAAATATTCAAATATTTACAGAAATTATGATCGATAAACAATGAAAAAGATAATTCTATTCCAATAAGTACTTAGTTCCATTCTAACCTAAAGAAAATTGATCTGCTTTCGAAAGAGAACTGATTGGTTTTTAACTGAAAAATACTCGTATAAGAAATCAGTCAGAAGTTCTAATGTTATTTGTCAAACTTGTAACTGCCTTGTCAGAAATCTGATTAATGATGTATTTTCACGAAGACACTGCATTCGTTCTCAGTTCCGCGATCGTTAATCCTTCGATTCAAGTCCATTTAACGTCTATCGCGTATATCATACGTTAGCATTCTCGGTCACCATTGAATATTAGAGCTGAATTCCGTGAATTCTATATCCCCTCCTACCACTGATCTTTCTAATAAATCTTACATTACGTGCATTCAGTGTCTACTTCTGCCCAGTTTCAGTTTATCGTACTTAAGTATCAGATTGTTACATTTAACTTATAAATAATAATATTTATAATATATATATATTATAAATAATAATATTTATACATATTTATTATATATATATTGATAAATAATATCATTAAACTCCTTATGAGGGAGCAAGTTTAAAAGTGCTATTAGTTAAAGAAGTTTCCTAAAGACACAGTCGATCAGATAATGTATTTATCTCAGAATAAAAATTTAAATATGTAATGGGTTCAAAGGGATATAAAAGTTCATCGCGTACGTGCTAGAACGTAACAACACAACGTCGCACCGTTAAAAGCAATTCTTTCTTCCTTCCGTCGCGGGGAATAGCCGCGCTTTATTAATGGTCGTATCCCGTGATAAGGTAATCGGGGCTGTACGCGTCTGTTCAGTGAAGATACCCCTCTCGATGCTCGTACACCTTATGTTAATGCCTCCGCTGCGGAACGCGTCTCATTTATAGGTAGACAGAGACACGCTATGGTGTACGCGCCGTTTCGTGGTTACGACGTCGTTAACGTATCGATACATATATACCCTGGCGACGAAAGAGAGCCACGGTTTTAGAGCAGCTCGATTCGAGTGGAGGGACGCAGCTTCGGCTTTATCCGTCCCGTCGGATTTTCGAGTGAATTAAGGGAGAAGTTTAATGGCCGACACGGTGTTCGTGTCAATTAACGCGGAATGTGTTTTACGATCGTGCTAATGAATTAGCCTCGACTGGGTAAACCAGACTGTTATAAGAAATCATGTAGGTACGATCATCCATAATGGTACAATAACGTGTACATTAAAATGACTCCACTTTCGACATTATAGTCCTGTCATGGTAAGACCGTCATTTTGGTCATAGTCTCGTCATACGACCGATGGTCACGTCTCTCCAAACACCGGCATCGTCGCTGGAGACTTTCATCGACTCATCTCCGTAACTCTGACAGACTCCCGACCATAGGCACACCTGAAAATACAATCGACGATCCGTGTTTCAAACAAATCCCGCGACGGACAATCGTATTCGTCGAACGTCGATAAACTGACCGTGTCCAAATTGGTCTTCTCATGAAACTTGACGAGATTCTTGTCGGGTATCATTTCCATCGCTTCCATCCCTCTGACTGATCTGTAGTACAATGATGACGGGAGTACAACGATGTTTGGAGGGAATAGATTGCAAAAACCGATGCAAATAAGTTTATTTCATTGTTAGTATAAACTATACTAAACTATTTTATTTTTAGTATGAACTATAGCTTCATAGAGACACAGTCGATCAGATAATGTATTTATCTCAGAATAAAAATTTAAATATGTAATGGGTTCAAAGGGATATAAAAGTTCATCGCGTACGTGCTAGAACGTAACAACACAACGTCGCACCGTTAAAAGCAATTCTTTCTTCCTTCCGTCGCGGGGAATAGCCGCGCTTTATTAATGGTCGTATCCCGTGATAAGGTAATCGGGGCTGTACGCGTCTGTTCAGTGAAGATACCCCTCTCGATGCTCGTACACCTTATGTTAATGCCTCCGCTGCGGAACGCGTCTCATTTATAGGTAGACAGAGACACGCTATGGTGTACGCGCCGTTTCGTGGTTACGACGTCGTTAACGTATCGATACATATATACCCTGGCGACGAAAGAGAGCCACGGTTTTAGAGCAGCTCGATTCGAGTGGAGGGACGCAGCTTCGGCTTTATCCGTCCCGTCGGATTTTCGAGTGAATTAAGGGAGAAGTTTAATGGCCGACACGGTGTTCGTGTCAATTAACGCGGAATGTGTTTTACGATCGTGCTAATGAATTAGCCTCGACTGGGTAAACCAGACTGTTATAAGAAATCATGTAGGTACGATCATCCATAATGGTACAATAACGTGTACATTAAAATGACTCCACTTTCGACATTATAGTCCTGTCATGGTAAGACCGTCATTTTGGTCATAGTCTCGTCATACGACCGATGGTCACGTCTCTCCAAACACCGGCATCGTCGCTGGAGACTTTCATCGACTCATCTCCGTAACTCTGACAGACTCCCGACCATAGGCACACCTGAAAATACAATCGACGATCCGTGTTTCAAACAAATCCCGCGACGGACAATCGTATTCGTCGAACGTCGATAAACTGACCGTGTCCAAATTGGTCTTCTCATGAAACTTGACGAGATTCTTGTCGGGTATCATTTCCATCGCTTCCATCCCTCTGACTGATCTGTAGTACAATGATGACGGGAGTACAACGATGTTTGGAGGGAATAGATTGCAAAAACCGATGCAAATAAGTTTATTTCATTGTTAGTATAAACTATACTAAACTATTTTATTTTTAGTATGAACTATAGCTTCATAGTAGCTTCAGCTGCTTCAGAATCTGTCCAAACTATGTCCTGTATCCACGGAACGTAACTGTAAACGCGAGTGTATACACCCGGAATGATACTGTCGCGAAGTTTCCAAGGCTCGCTGTTCTGATTACGCTGTACGCGTTCGGTTGAGAGTCCAAGTATGCGACCAGAGGTCCGCTACTGTCGCCCTATGAAAAATAAAGTAATGTGCAAAGCTGCATCTGTGTCGTTCGTCGTTTGTCGATCCGTGTTGTTACCTGACAGATATCTTTTCCATGACGACCGGCGCAAAGCTGCTAGCCGCCCATTATGCCTCACTCGAGTTTGTCGCTCTTTATGCCGGTGGCAAAGCTCATGTTGCATACTGACTGCGGTACTAAGTCGAATTTAGCGTATAACAAATCTTCCGAATGCCCTCCGCCTGAACGAATACCACGGATTTAATACGATCGTCGGTAACCATATGATCATCGGTCTCACCTCACTCTACTTGACCCACTCTACATGACTTTCCAGAGCTTGTTTTCACGGGAATATACTATAATGGAATAATGCCCGAATTTATAGTCGTTTCTCAGTTCTCAGTTCTTAGCATGATGTGTTCTTAGTACTCAGTTCTCAGTTCTCAATCTCAGTTCTCAACTACTTATTGCATATCTATATGTTTCGTGATATATGATTGATGAAAATCGAAAATATATTTTTAAACGTTTTACTTCATTGTTGATTAAGATTTTTGGATATATTTTTAAACGTTTTATTTCATTGTTGATTAAGATTTTTTAAAATTCTATTGAAGTGAGTAAGCCTATCGCAATGACCGTGGACGCTATAATGGGATTTTAAAAAATCTATATCAACAATGAAATCTTGACTTTTCCGAGCTTGTTTTCACAGGAATAGATATTATTTTATAGGATGAAATTATTTTCATAAAATATTGAAACTTGCTCAGTTTTTTACCTTTTCATGAAAAGATTTTATTTTCTTGGAGATACAGATTACACCAAGGTATTCAAATAAAAAAACTGATAAGTTTAAAAAAATGTTCGTTTTCAATGAAATTGACAAGATTCTTCGATTTGAAGTATGATAATGTTGACAGCTATTGAAATTGTTCATTACCTATTGCTCAATTTGTTTTATCATTTAGTGCATGTTCTGTCATATGACATGTTATTTATTATATAATTTACTGTATGATTTATAATATAGTTTATTGTCTGCTGTGCCACATAGTTTGTTACGTGTTTTACCGCATGCTTTGTTATGTAATTTATCAAATGGTTTGCTACGTGATTAATGACATGGTTTGTTATGTGATTTATCATATGATTAGGGTTAATACGACTGTTTGTATGAATTCGTATATGAAATATTGCTCGATTGTTCGTCAGATTCTTTCGTAAACAAACATTTGGGAGTTAAGATCTCTAAATCGAGATCGCGGAGCCACGGCAACACCGACAAAGGAATTCCCGGCCGATACGTAATTCTGTCGATACCTCTTCCTGTAATAATGCCGCGTGATAGCGAACGTTATTTCGAAG